GAACTGGGATATAGGCCAGAGGGGTGAAAAGATTCGTGGATGAGAAGACAGATGGACTGTGTAGCTTTCCGCTCAATCCTTTCCCCAGCTTTATGCTCCTGCTCTGCTGAGTTTTTGAAGAGGTTCTCCTAAAGTGTCGTCTTTGTCACGATTGATCCTGTGTCCGCCTGTGTTGGCCCTGTTCTTTGCTGTTTAGGGAACACTCTTACCGTCTCTTCTGCCAGAGACTCGCCCTTCCCAACCTACAGTTTCACGAATATTTTCAGAATCTGGAGCAATCTTGACCCAATTTCTCATTCAACTTCTTGTGCAGGTGGAGAATTTGCATCTGGTTACATGGAGTGGGAAAAGGAGACAGAAAACTCCATCTCCTTATTGTAACGCGTCTCTGGTTTATGAGTTTGAAGAATTATTACGTACCAGTTATTACCACAGTGTTCACGATCTGTTGTAAAATGTAAATCCTCCACTGCTGTTTGAGACGTTACTGTTGAATGAAGGCACGGCCTGTGTTACCATCCATCGCTGCCAGAGGACAAATGAGCAAGGCAGGTGAACAAAAAGGGTGCAAGTGGCCTTCCCTGGAGGCGCAGCGGGTTAAAGCACAGCACTGAGAATCTAAAGCCGCTTCCGCACGAGTTCGATTCCCGCCTGCCCCGGAGGTGACCACATGGCGCGGCAGACCTCTCCTGACCCGCCCACTGGTCCCCCTCAGCAGTGCACTTTGTCCACCTGCCTACTCTGCTCCCCACTCTGTCTCTGGTGAAGCCTCTCGCCGCCCCTGAGCCTCTGGCCTGTACCCCAGTTCTGTATGCACAAATAAATAAATCTTTTAAAAAAAAAAAAAGGTGCAAGCAATGTGTTGAGTTTCCTGAATTTTGTGGGGAAAACTAGTGTATTCTCCCTTTTGCATATTCTATCATTACTTTAACCTTTTCCACCGCTTATCACTGAGATTAATACTTGTCTATGTCTCCATAAACAGCTTTATCATATTCTGAGGCCATTATGCAACTCTATATTATATTTTAAATCAATGCCTCTGTCAGAAACTTGTTGTCATTGGATGGCCCAATAAACTGCAATAAGAAAAGTTGATGTATAAGAGAAAAGGACTCTTACCTGTATCCCAACAAACCCAGGAAAAATTAGGGAAGGAAAAAAGGCGAAACAATATTATCAAAAGAAAAAAAAGTAATGGTCTCCACTGACTAAAACCTGGGTTTTAGTCAAGGGGATTTGCCCTTGAGGCCTGTTGCCTACAGAAGAGGAAGATGATGCGATTGGTTGGAGGAGAGGTTTTATAGTTCAACCCTTGATCACATTGTAACCTGGACAACAAAATTCTTCTCCTTCACTGAAGGAATCTGAGTGCCAGAGCAATGAGTATTATCATAACAGCACCATGTGTGATGTTTGAGGCATTGTGATTCCAGAGGCTGTGGGGCGGCATACCTGACACATCTTTAGTAGGTCATGTCTCGTGATCAACTAATAGGCTATCAGGCATGAAGTGAATGAAACAGAAAAGGAAGTAGTAGTGTAATTGCACATAAGGAGAGTCATTCATTTCTGAAACTTGGGCAATACTCCTGAAGTCAAACAAGAAACATACCATGGTAAAAGCAATCAGACTTAGGGGGCCCCTTCACGATTCACTGAGATTTGTGGGGGCATAGACTGGAAAAGCAAAGAATTCCTATGTCAGGAGGAAGGAATCTGAGTCCTGCCAGCTATCTTTGAGGCCAAGACAGAAAGACTCCATGTCTCTGAAGACATGAGATCCCACTCTGTTTTCTACCTCTTCCTCAGAATCCACCTTACCTGTAGCCAGTCACAGCTGAGAGGTAACAGAAGAAGTGTATCTGTTTTTCATATTAAAAGTCTCAGCAACTTCACATTCTGGAATGAGGAGTTAGTCTCAAGTCAGCAGGTGAAAGTTAGTCTGGGGCCCACAATTATGAAGGTAGACACTGACTGAGGACCTAGGCAAGCAGCACAGAAGATGTATCCTATATGGCCCACCTACTGGGAACCTGGAGAAGACCCAGGCGAGTCTGCTAGGCTTAGGGTCCCAAGTATTGCCTACAGGATTTCTTTCTTTTTTTCTTTTTAAAGATTTATTTATTTGTACATACATGAACTGGGATATAGGCCAGAGGGGTGAAAAGATTCACCAGAGACAGAGTGGAGAGCAGAACATGCAGATCTACTGAAATACACTGCTGAAAGGAGCAGGGGGAAAGACAGGACAGGTTTGCTGCCCCAGTGGGTCACCCCTCTGGCCAGGGATAAAACCTGTACTGTAGTGTCCCAGGACAGCCTAACAGTGCTGCTCTTCAACACCTTGCACCACCAGGGGGACCCTCATACAGCATTTCCGACAGAAGTATATATCTTGGTTTAACCCAGATGACAGAGTTTAGCGGAACAAGAAAAAAGTCCGAGGAGCTCAGAATTAATGAAAGATCCTATGACAAGTCCTGTAAGAATGCAGCTTCCCTTCAACAAATACCCCCCCAAATCTGCAACTCCCGCTCCAGCCCTATCTTCTTCATGCCCCAATTTGCCATGCTCCCCACTCACCCCATGCCCACCTCCACTACCTCTGCCGCACGTCATTCTGGGAGACCTGATGGTCCTCCCGGAAGTGGCCCTCTCTGACTTCCCGGTAAAGGCGTTGAGGGAGCCGAGGTCCACTGTGACAGCTGCCGGCAGGAGTTACAGAGCAGGAGTCTGCAGACTCGGCAGGTGTGAACACAAGATGTGTCCTCAGCGGGACGGCGGGG